GCTCGGTTTCCTCGCCTGAGAAACCGACTGGACCTGGCCTTCGTGGAACCCGGACCCCGCCTTGCTCCCAGCCTCGCCAGGTGAACAGATCCTCAGGCCCTGCGGGATTCCAGGAGGGCCCCGGCCCCAGCCCAGTCCCGCCCCCCTCACCCTGCTGTCTGCAGAGGGGCCGCCCCCAGATCGCCAAGGCCAGTGGTGCCGGGAAGTTTGAACCCTGGTAGGACCAGCCCAGAGGCTGCCGCCAGCGATCGTCAGGAGGGAACACACAGGCGTCCAGCGCCTCCCGATCCCGGGAACAAGACCCCAGCCCAGACCTCAGCAGCAACTACGTTTATTGAGCACCCAACTATATCGCCCAGTTAATCCCCCACCCACAGGACCCAGGCATATGAGGGACCTTTCATGGGTGGTGTCCTGTGATACAGGGGAGCCCCACCTCCCCACCCTACAGGGGTAGGGCCAGACACCATCCCCTCCCAGCTCCCTCCCCCATACAGGCCCTTCCCTGGACCCAGACCCACGGGGTAACCCAGACGCCTCTCCTTTCATGCCTCATTGCCCCACTTGTAAAATGGGAGGAGAGGGTTAGACCCCTGTTTTTTCTCAGTTTTCTAAAGCAGCAGGAGTCTCTCCTTGTAGGAAGGCTCCCCCAGGCCCTCCCAGCACAGCTGCACCATAAGCACGGAGCTGTTTGTCCCTATTTGCAGAATGAAGGCCCAGACAGCTTTCATTCATGGGGACGTGGAAGAAAAGGCATCCGGGGTTCAGCCAGCCATTGGCCTCCAGACACTCCAGGGTTACCTTCCCCTTACCTCTGCCAGGCCCAGAGAAGCTACTGGAGACTCAGGACTCTAGGTCGCTCTGAGGTTGGGGACACTTCGGGTCTACACCCCTGCCCCAGGCCACCCCACCCAGCCCAGCCCAGCCACACCCTCCCTGCCTGTCTGCCTCTGATTGGGAGGCCTGGGCGTGGGCACCTGGCAGGAGAGCCTGCCTAGCTGTGTGCCAGCAGCTGGCCCAGGATCTCAGGGCTTCAGCTGCCAGCCCCAAAGTCCAGGCATAGGGTCTGAGTGGGCGTGGAAGGCATGAATGCAGGGCCCAGGGCACTGAATGGGGATAGCAGAGAGCGGCCCCGGCAGGGGAGGCTGCAGGCCTGGCAGGGGCAGCCTGGGAGGCACTGACTCTGGGCTGCCCCTGAGATCCGGAGCCTCACCAGCAGGAGAACTCAAGCCCAGCCCAGGGCCCAGCCCAGGGGGTGCTGGCATCAGGCAGGCAATGCCCATAGTCTGGAGGCTCCACCTACCCCGAGGACTCCTCCCACGGTGATCCAAGGGCCTTGGAGCTGGCCTCAGGCACAGGAGGCCTGCTCCAACCCAGCCTCAGGTCAGGCCAGCTCCTTGAGGCCCTGGTACACCTTGATGGAGTTGTCCTTGGCATCAGCCACCAGGAGCTGGCCCTGGGGTGCACAGGCCACTCCCAAGGGCTGCCCAAGCCCCTCCGACACCAGGCAGATGGGTGGCCCAGCCCGGGGAAACAGGGTCACTTGGCGCCTCTGCTCGTCTGCTACAATAATGTTGCCCTCTGAGTTGGAGCAGATGCCTGCTGGGCAGCCGAAAGTGTGCCCCGTCCAGCCCCCCAGGGAGCCCAGGGGCTGGTGGGCACTGCCAAACAGCCTCACATCCCCAAACTCCTCACTCACAGCAAGGCCCCCATCAGGCCCCGGGCCCACCCAGCAAGGGCCCTCCAGACCCAGCATGGAGGCTGGGGCCAGGGGCTCCCAAGCAGGGCTCAACGTGAAGCTGTGCACAGCCCCGGGCAAGTAGTCTGTCACCAGGAGGCGGCTGAGGGCATCCACAGCCAGCCCTCGTGGAGACAGGAAGGTGCCCACGGTCACCCAGCGGCCTCCGGGGTCCCGGGATGTGTGCTGGAGGGCACGGACAGCCCCATGGATGGGATCGCTGACCACCACAAGCCCTGACGCTGTCACAGCCACATCCTCTGGAACGAAGGCCCCGGTCCCCGGAGTGCAGCAGGGCAGGAGGCAGACGGGGCGTCCCTCCAGATCCAGCACGTGGACACAGGGTGCAGCTCCGGCCGTGAGGAAGAGCAGGCCATCGGGGGAGCAGTGCAGGCCCCGGGGCCCTCCTGCAGCCCCTGCGGGCACCCGGATCCGCCCAAGCAGCCGGGGCTGCCGGGAGCCAGTGGAGTCTCTAGGCAGGTCCAGCGTGAGGTGCAGACAGCCGGAGGCCGGAGTCCAGTCAGTCGTAATCACCGTCTCAGCTTCTCTGCGGCTGGATCACGTTTGGGGCTGCAAGACAGAGAACAAAGCCCCACTGTGTGTGGGAATGGCAGTCACTCCTCCAGTGCCCTCCTATGAGGCTGGGTCCTCCAGGTCCTGAGGGTCTGCCTGACCCCCAAGCCCAGTGGCCACCTAGTGTCTAGGGGCCTGGAACTCGAGTCTGGGAGACACATGACCCATGGAGCTCGCTGTGGGTTTTCCCCTGAGCCCCAGCTGCGCTCACGGGCATCAGACAGATAAGCAGCATTTCTCAAATCCATCTGCCTACGGAACCCCTTTCTACCTGGGGGTCACCCACACATAGCCCTTCTACCTGAACCCTCGGTCAGGGAGCCTTCTGACCCCTTGGGGCGAGGTAGCCTGTCCTGAGGGCCTGCACCTGCCCCACCAAGAGGCCCGGGGAGGGGTCTCTTACCTGGGGCCAGTCTCGCTGGTCCCTGCTTCGGGGCTGGGTGGCTGCAGCCTCTGTTGTTGGAAACTAGAACGGAGGAAGTGGGAGGAGCCACTGGCAGGGACGCAGCTGGGCTGGGTGGAGGAGAGAGAGCGCGGTCTCAGGCCTCGGCCCCGGCCCCGAAGCTTCTATGAAGGAAAAATCAAGTGTCCTGAGGACTCCCCATGCTGCGGCGTTCCTGCCTCTGCACCTCGTTGCAGGCTGTGCCCTCTGCCTGGACACTATTCCCACGTCCCCTGCACGGCCGGATGCCATGCAGCCCACCCCCATTCAGGGGGTCCCCCACGGTCCCCCCACAACCAGCAAGTTCATTACTCCAAGTGGCAAGGCAGCCCCAGGCCACCACCTCCAAGCAGGGTCCTTGGGTCTGGACCAGGGTGGGTGACCTGCTGGCTGAGGCACCCTCCACCAGGCCTGTCCTGACAGCGAAGAAGGTCACGCGTGTCTCCACACCTGGGAGACGGGTGCTGTTGCCCCCAGCAAGGCCATGCTCACCTGTCTGCCCAGTGGGGGTGAGAAACTGGGGTGCAGTGGACATATGGGGTGCGGTGGACATGGGGGGTGCAGTGGACATATGGGGTGCGGTGGACATGGGTGCGGTGGACATGTGGGGTGCGGTGGACATGGGGGGTGCGGTGGACATATGGGGTATGGTGGACATGGGTGCGGTGGACATGTGTGCGATGGACATGGGGGGTGCGGTGGGCGTGTGGGGTGTGGTGGGCGTGTGGGTGCGGTGGACATGTGGGGTGCGGTGGACATGGGGGGTGCGGTGGACATATGGGGTATGGTGGACATGGGTGCGGTGGACATGTGGGGTGCGATGGACATGGGGGGTGCGGTGGGCGTGTGGGGTGTGGTGGGCGTGTGGGGTGCGGTGGGCGTGTGGGGTGTGATGGACATGGGGGGTGCGGTGGACATATGGGGTGCAGTGGACATGTGGGGTGCGGGGCTGAGGATAGGGAGTCTCCCTCAGAGTCGGGACTTGAGGACACCTCCTGGCTGCCCAGGGCCCCCTGCAGCCCCTCCAAGAAGCCTCTGGGTCGAGGGGCCCAGCTGGGACCTGTCCCCACAGCACTCTGCGCCTGGCCAGGCAGCACCCCAGCTCTGGCTGCCCCAAGGCGGTGGGTGCCGATGCTATCTCCCTGGCAAGGCAACACCCCAGCTCTGGCTGCCCTGAGGCAGGGTCGGGGCTGATGCTATCTCCTCAGTAGTTAATGGGGCCCGCTGCCAGCCTGCTTGGACTGGCTGCAGCCCGGCTGGCCCAGCCCAGCTCAGGGAACTAGGTGCAAGCAGGAACTGCTTCTCCTCCTGGGGGGTCAGCGTGGGCTCCAGGGCCCATTCCAGGGTGGGCATGGGGGGTTTGGCCAGCTCCCCCAGGAGAGAAGTGATTTGCTGTGGGGGTCCCGGGCACCCCTCCCTGCCTGCCCATCCCCTGCCCGTGGGAGGGCCAAGCTAGGCCATGCCGGGAGGGAGGCAGTGAGCCGTGAAGGCCGATACCTATCTGGGTTGCAGGGGCTGGCAGGGGCCAGCAGAGCCCATGCTGGGTGAGCAGCCTCTAGCCACACAGCCTCGGGGCCACCGTTTAACCGCTGGAGAGCTGACATTAGCGCTGCCTTGCTGAATTCAGAGGCAAGAGGATGCTCAGGGGTCCGTGCCCACCCCCAACATAGGCCAGATCACCCCAAGCAGCCCAGATCACATGCCTTTCCTTGCTCAGCTCCTGACACTGACATCCCGTCCACCCCCAGACCCCAGCCCCGCAGGGAAAGCCCAGCCCACAGGAGAGGGCCGAGTCTGAAGACAGAGGCCCGGGAGGACTACTCCCCACCCAGGACTCCCAGGCCAGGACACTTCCTTAAGGGGGTGTCCAGTCGGCTACACTAGGATCCCAAAGGAAGGAGGCCCAGACGGTGTGTGTGAACACAATTTTCCGTTTTAATGTCCACAATTGTGATCAATAAATAACTGTGACTTCCCGTGTCCCTGTGTGGCCCCAGGGAAAAGCGTAGGCCACGGCCCGTGGGGGTCTATCCACATGCATGCGGGGGTGGGGCAGGTCCCAGGCCTTGGCCATGGGGCTGGGACAGGTGAGGGGCGGGGGCTGCAGGAGAGGGGCCGGCACACTGCGGGCAGAGACGTCGGACCTCAGGCGCTGCTGGTCAGAACTCGGCGCCCACAGGGCTGGGGCAGGTGAGGGGTCGGGGCTGCAGGAGGGAGGCTGGCACACTGTGGGCAGAGATGGTCGGACATCAGGCACTGCTGGTCAGACCTCGGCGCCCCGGGGGCTCTGCAGGCCACAGACAGCCTCAGGGGTCTGGGAACTCCCTGTGGTAACACAGGTGCCCCAGCCACTGCCAGGAATGACAGGGTCATCTGAGGCCGGGAGGGGGAGCCCCGGGGGTGGGACGCTGGAGTCGGCCTCACACTTTGTGGTGTGGCCGGAGAAGGGTTGGGGCGCTGCAGGGCCCAGCATGCTGGGTGGCTCGGGGGTACCCCTGGTCAACATGGGACTCAGCTCGGGCTGCCCCCACGCCTCTCCAAGAGCCTGGGGCCCCTTGGCAGGCGCGCGTTTCACAGACAGGTCGAGGGGTGCGTC